TTCCTCACAACTTTTTCTATCGCGGACCAAACAACATTTTCAGCTCGAAACAAAACGTAGGTTCAGCAGCTTAAGTTTCTACTAAAATAATGGTTTAACTGTTTTTCATCACAACAAGTCTATTCTAGTTTTTTTAGCCTCGTCAAAGACTTTACCCAAGTTGACGATTCGTCGACACGGGATCAGAAAATCAAACAGGACACAGTGGTCTCTCGCTGTCTCTCTCTGGTCTCTCTCTGGTCTCTTTCTGGTCTCTCTCTGGTTCTCTCTCTGGTCTTCTCTGGTCTCTCCTCTGGTCTCTCTCTGGTCTCTTCCTCTCTCTGGTCTCTCTCTCTGGTCCTCGTCTCGGTCTCATCTCTGGTCTCTCTCTGGTCTCTCTCCCTAGTCCTACATCTCACTGGTCTCTCACTCGGTGTCTCTCTGTGTCTCTCTGGGCTCTCTCTCGGTCCGCACTGGCTCTCTCTGGTCTCTCACTGGTCTCCTCGGGGCCTCTCTCTCTGATGACAACCCTGGTGTATCTCTGGTCTCATCTCTCAGGCCTCTCTCTGGTCTCTCTCTGGTCTCTCTGGCCTCTCTCCTCTGGTCTCCTCTGGTCTCCTCTCTGCCTCTCTCTGGTCCTCTCTCGCCTCTCTCTCTGGCCTCTCTCTGGTCTCTCGTCTGGTCTCTGGCTCTGGTCTCTCTCATCTGGTCTCACTCCTGGTCTCTCTCTGGTCCTCCTCTCTGGTCTCTCTCTGGCCTCTCTCTCTGCCTCTCCTCTGGCCTCTCTCTCTCTGCCTCTCTCTGGTCTCTCTCTGGTCTCTCTCTGGTCTCTCTCTGTCTCTCTCTCTGGGCTCCTCTCTGGTCTCTCTGGTCTCTCTCGGACTAAACATGAAAATAGTAATTCTCACCTAAAACAACATCTTAACATAAAAAACATCAAATATCAGATATTAGTTTCAATGAGGTTCAAGTTCGAATCTCATTAACTTTTCAGTTTTTTATTTTGTATAAATTGTATGAAATCAAACTTTTAGCACAGTTACAAAAGCATGAGCGTGTTAATTACTTTACTTTCACTTTCAAAGGCTCATAAATCTCACCTTTCCCGCGTGCCCGTTCAAACCCTGCATTGGCCCTGGGGTTTAAAAAAAAATATTTTTATATGCGTTTTTTGACGACTGAATGGAAGGATCCACCGTTGCCTATGGTTACCACTTTGAATATACGTCATTTTTAAAACAGAAGTCCCTCCTCCTCCCCTCTCTACGATGCAGATTAAAGGGGGAAAAAAATGTCTGGGAGTTTTGATATATATTTTACTCCATTTTCTGCTGATAACCAGGAAAGCCTTGTTTCTCCATGTTGGGGTTTGTGCGCCAAGGATCCTTGGGTGTTGTTTCTTCTTCTAGGATTGTGTTTTTCTTTCTAAAGATCATTATTGACGGTTCTCTGTACGGCTAGCGCTGTTAGTAATGTGTCCACAAAGTCCGATTCTCACTTGGCATAAAGTCATTTATAAATAATATTGGGTTGTTTTTGTGGTTTGTGCTGATTGACAAGGGGGGGCGGGGTCTAGCTAGATGTCTCAGATCGGAAGATTCGACCCCGTAGCGTTCTGAGAGGGGCCAGAGACAAACATAAGGTGAAAAGTGATGAGAAAGATAAGCCCGTAAAAATGCTGGAAATTAGGCAAAACATTTGTCTTAAATTGAGGGATAGATCGTTTTAAGAGTTTTAAAGACTTTTTCAAGTGTATCTGTCCGGCCTGCAGTCGGAGGCTTGTCGAGTAGTGGGCGTGTCGGGTAGTGGACGTCACTACTCGACAGCGCCCACAGGTCCCGCGTGTATGAGCATGGATCTATTATAATATCGGTAGAGTAGTATGAGTACTATCTATGCCAATGAATTTATCGCAATAATGAATTTTAATGGCGCCTGTCAGTGTCAATATTATTTATTGGGGAAAATGGACGGAATTTTGTAAAGATCAAAGTAGTAAATTTGCCTACAAAAGCTGCCATTACTTTCAGACTATCAATCAATAGGGAGTTGAAGCAGCTCAGGACAAAAGTTAATGAGTCAAATACTGCCATGCATTATGTTAATGTGTACATTCATTATAAAAGGGGCCTATGGTTGTGGCTCAAATCCGGGCTGCCCCAAGTGCATCCAGTATTCTTGAGCAATGCTCTTCACCCACATGTGTGGCACATAGTGAGAGACTGCCTTGGTGTGGCCAATAGCACAGATAGTAGCCTGGCATCCTCCAACACAGCTGTGACACACTGTGTGGAATAAATGAATAAAGTAGTGTGGCGGTTTGAGAAACTTGTCAAACCAGGAATTGAAAAGTACATTACAAGTTAAAAGATATATTACACCACCACCACCACCACACACCCTACACCCATAGTCTCCACATTACTGATCATAAAGAGAACATGGCCATAACATTTTTGTGCCCAAACTTTGGCCTTTTGGGACAAGCAGACCTTCATTACTATTTGTGTTTATGTCAATTTGTAATGTAGAAGAGGGAGATTAAACAAAAAGAACAAATTGTTTTCTGGCAATTTATGTACAATGCTTTTTATGAAATTTGTGTTATCTGAATGGCTCTGAAATGTAGACACTGAATAAGTTCAACACAAACAATTCTCTTTATTTAATCATGAGAGAAGGCAGTCCAGGAGGAGAGCGCCAATCTCCATCTCTCTTGGAAAGCTTTCAGCCTCCCTAGCTGCCTCCTCTGTAAATGCCTCACCAGATCATTTGCAATCATTTTAAACTCACTGTCCATAAAGCAACAATCACAGATTAATTGTGCAGTGCACAGTGAAATATGTCCATTCAATATTTAAGCATCTTACCATGGTTCATAACTTGTGGCCCCTTTAATGAATGTTTCAATTGCCTCTTGCTGAGGCGGTGAATGCCCGGGCCATAGTGTGGAACTGTCACCAAAGATACGAGAAAAATGTGTTACATTCAACAACAACAGTTCACAAAACCACATGCAAGCCCTAACAGGTGTTGTGTCCTGGTTTAATATATGCAGTGGACTTGCCACTTAATGAACTTTATGGTCTCTGTACAGTCAACCATGTTGCAATGCAGAGTTTTAGTACAGTAACGTTCCCCCCCCCATGAAACAAGTACCATGACATGGTTATGTTTGAGGGGGGTTCAGTGTTTTAGCACACTTTCATTACAAAAGTCCCTGTGCCAGCCTGGTGCGCTCGGCCTACTAAAGTAAAAACAAACATTATATAAATCATGCTATACTTCCCGTAAGAGCGTGAGACCAATCAGAAAGGAAGGGGGAGGGAGCTTAGGGTTGTTTTTTTTTTCAAATCAAGTACCTCTCTGTCCTCTCTTTCTGACAAACACTAGACAATCACTTTTAAAGAACAAAGTGTACAATATTGCACAACACCTGGATCGAAGTAAAACATAGCTCCATGACAACCAGATGCCCTCTCATGGTTTGCACTTGTGTGACATTTGTGCTTCTCCGCCATGTTTAAAACAGTTCCACGACGGAGCGTGTTTCCTCCCCGGCTTCAGCACTGGATCCTGAATTCCCATCACAGACAAATAGCGATGCAACGAAAGCAGACATAAAAGCAGCCATTTGTGCACACTCAGAAACACAAATATCTTGGAACACAATCCCAATAACTAAGGCAGTGACTTCATGTAACTGTGATAGGAAACATCGTGAGCTACATCACATAATTGCCTAACTAAATTCTCCACTGTTCTTGGAAAACAGTAAAGAGTTATGTTTTTCTCCTTATTACCACTTTTTAACGATGCAAAAATGACTTGGGCAATATTATATTTGTATATATTATACTATTACCTATTATACTATGTACCTGACATGTCGATGGCACATGGACTCTTAGAGAAACCCATACAATTGCTTTCTCTGCCAATGTATTAGTTCACTTCTTAAAAAACATTTCTAGTCAGGGTGATAGTGCATTTATTCATAATACACTGTAACTGGAGGGACGGCCTAAAAAATACATAAAACACGTTTGTTTGGTTGACACTTACTGGTTTGCGTACGGTCCTGCCATGTCCTTTCCTCAACGGATATACTTGCAGAAGCTCAAGTGGATTCAAAATTCATGTGTAGCGTGTCGGGTAGTGACGTCACGTACCCGAACACGCCTACTAATCGACACGCGCCTCCGTACTGCAAGCCTCAGACAGACCCATCTCGTTTCCTTTTCGCAGCGCCCCAGAGCCTTCCTCAGTAGTGGAGCCATGAGAGGGTATTTTTTGGGCAGGCCGTCCCAAGGGGTGGTGCGAGGCCCCTGTGCGAAACTCGAAACGCGAGGGCCCTGCCTGACACTTTTTTCCCCAGATTCTAGAGGAAAGTTTTTTCCTGTTATCAATCTTTGACATAATTCCAGCACCACCTCGCGCGGTGCTATGAAGAGATCACACGCGCGTAACCGCGTGTCGTCGCTCCTATGCCAGCGGGTTGGGCGCGCGCACTCCACCACGCCACACACACTCTAACCTACGTGCAATATTGGGCCGCGGTCTTTTTAGCTGACATGTCGCTTTCCGTCCTGTGGCAAAATGGTAGAGCAACTCAAAAGATTGGAACCAAAAGAGTCTTTTCTTCTAATAGTTTAGATATGGGGCAAAATGCGCCAACATGGGCTATGAGGCGAGTCAATATTATTATTTCCTATCAATAACGATTTTTGCCATGCCTCCACGACACTCTGACAACATACACTCCTCCTCCTCCACCTGACAACACAAAAAACTCTTCACCTCCTCCTCCACGACAGAACTCTGACCACAACAAAAACTCTCCAGCTAGAGCAAAAGCTAGACATACAGTTGTTTGCCTAATGCTTTTAAAAATATGTTTTGATGTGGATATTCGACTAAACATGGCAATAGCAGCGCCACCACACCTGTCACACCGCTATCCTCCCTCCTCCTCCTCTGCTCCACACAAAGGGGTCTTGCTCCTCTGCTCACACCTAGTATCACTGCTCCGTCCTCCTCTCCTCCTCCGTCCTCGCTCTGCTCACACAAAGGGTCTGCTCCTCTGCACACAAACCTGTATCACTGCTCCTCCTCCTCCTCCTCCTCCTCCTCCTCTCACACCACAAAGGGGTCGCTCCTCTGCTCACTCCTGTCTCACTGCCTCCTCCTGGCCGCGAGTATCCCATCTCTCCTACACAGCGATCATTCCCGTTTACTTTCTTTGTATCCACCAGAACACTGCTAAAGTTATCTGACAGATTTATTCGGAGACCCGTTGCATACACCATACTGCCCAGCTAGCGCCCTGCTGTTTACAATCCTTTTGGTGAAAATTTGACTTTACTTGTAAAATGTCTTTTGATCAAACGAAATCAAAGAGGTCCAAGAAAGGGGTTAGGGTCCAATTTGGAGTGCGTCCTGCCTTTGGGACCCTTGAACAGTGTATTTATAAAATAAAATAAAGGAAGGAAGATTGCGAGGCCCCGACTGTGTGGTGGCGAGGCCCTGTGCGACGGGCACAGGTCGCACAGCCCTTAGGACGGGCCTGATTTTGGGAGAGGGGTTTTGTAATCAGAGAGGGCATTATTTTATTTTCTAAATTCAACAAAAAGAGATATAGACTGGTAACATTGGGTCCAAAGGCTGGAGTTAAACTCTCCGATTCAGTAGGGCAGATATCGGCGCAAATATTGATTCTTTAGCCCGCCTTTAAAGAAACAGAAGCAGCCCCATCAGTCCTGCGCATGCGCTCGCTCATCTTTTGGGTCCTAGCGTCTGAGGAGGGGGTCACGTTTTTACACTCTACAATGATTTTCGGTTTTAATAATTAGAAAACATTGAATGATCCAAAATAAAATGTATTTTATGTTGTTACAAATGGCAAATGTACAAGTCCAGAAGCTTTGAATCATGTTTATAAAGTCTGTATTTACATGATGGGAAAACGGAATGTTTAAGTGTGCAGGCCTTAACCCTGAGTTTTCTACTGTAGGTTTATGTGATGAGTGATAGTATTAACTCTGTCTGCTATAAATCCTGACAATTAGTTTTTTATGATTCATTATTTTTCTATAAGTCATTCAACAGTGATCGTGAATAAAGACACAGTTCTTGTTGAAAACATAGTTATATATTAAACAGTTTTCAGCACAAAAGACAAACAATAATAGTGGGAATACAATACGATGTATATATTTAGATATAAGTTATATATATGTTTATATAAAAGTTCTACTATATTTAGATAGACCACAGTCTCCTGTATATTCAGGCTCGAGCCCAAACTAGCTTTTCCTTCGAAGCACAAAGCCCTCTGCTCCATATGCCTCGTCCATGCTCCTGTCTGCAGGCCGCTCCGTGCTCTCCTCCAATACACACAAACCACGGACCAATCACAGCGAGCTCCTTGCTGCGAAACCTTAAAAGAGCAATATGTAAAAATCAGGGGCAAAGGTGGAACTGCACGTCGCACCAGTCATAATTTTAGCTCCTCCACTCTCCCTGACTCAGGATGCCAGATTCACAACAAATACCAGCAGCAAACAACAGGGAATTTATTTTTATCAGTTGTTTGTCCGCTCCATTCACATGGCCATGACAGCCGTGCTAATTGCCTTAATGAATGTTTTGATTAATGTTTTTTTATATTATTATTGACATTTGAGAGTAAAAAACCAAAAACAAAATAAACGCAATGTAATTATACATAGTTTATGGCAAAATAAATAAGCAATTGATGTTCAAAAATAGGAGTGGGAAGAATGGATGTTGGAACGTATTTCTTCAGCGTATCAACGATCGAGGGTTTGCTCAAGAGGAATATCAACTTACATTTTATTTATTCCTAACATTCGTAAAAGTCCCCGACATCAAAAAGAGACTAACATTATATTAATTGGGGTACATGTGGTCTTAAATGATTAGTTTTACAATTAAGCTATAATCTGCAAAAAAAAAACGACTCTGACCATCATCTTTTACCGTTTTTAGAGCAATCTGTCATAGAATGTGATAACATGCAGATAAATAACAAAATGACATAGCCCGGGATCGCACCCAGGGTTCCTGGCATCGTAAGCGCGCACAGTTTTAGACGCACTAGAGTCTTGTGGTTCCCAAAGTGGGGGTCCTGACCCCCCGTGGGTCGCGGAACCCTGGGGGGGTCGCAAGATGAATTCCACACAAAAAAAGACTATAAAATTATGTTTTAATAACGTTAGTATTTTGTCCCATCCATTGCAGCGTCATCAAATCATCACGAACACAGCTCAATGCCAGCGACAAAGCGTGTCCTGCTGTTGTTTGCTAACAACTAAAGTGTTTGGAGGCTACAAATAAATAATGACCTGCTTTAAACTGAAACGTGTTAATATCTAACAACAGAAAAACCGCCCGGAGGGGGAGAAAAGTCACTGTATCAGTGGCTGATGGTGCGAAGAGAGGGAAGAGGGCAGAGGAGGGAGAGGAAGGGCAGAGGAGGGAGAGAGGCAGGAGGAGGGAGGCAGGAGAGGGCAGAGAGGGGGCAGAAGGAGGGAGGAGGAGGGAGGGAGGGGCAGAGGAGGGAGCGAGGGCAGAATAGGAGGGAGGAAGGACAGAGAGAAGAGTAGGGAAGAGGGCAGCGGAGGGAGGGCAGCGGAAGGGAGGGAGGGCAAGGAGGGAGAGAGGGGCGAAGCGTAGGGAGAGAGGGCAGCGAGGAGAGAGGGCAGAGGAGGGAGAGGGAGGACCGAGGAGGGAGAGAGGAGGCAGAGGAGGGAGAGAGGGCAGCGGTAATACAGCGCGCGTTAAGAGGCCGCTGCTTTCCCGGAGCTCAGCGGTAAAGCGAGGTCCCACATTAAAAGCGGGTGGCCGCTTTCTGCTGTTACTTTATGCGGTTCATCCCCCGCGGCCTTCTCTTTCCAAAGTTACTGTCAGTAAAGGCATAAACCGCCCACCCCTTTTAATTGTGCGACCTCTTTACTTTGACTCCGAAAAGCCCGGGCCTCTTTAACGCGCTGTTCCTAGGGAACGTCTACACCCGCTGCCCTCATCTCCCTCCTCTGCCTCATCTCCCTCCTCTGTCCTCCCTCTCCCTCCTCTGCCCTCATCTCCCTCCGCTGCCCTCTCTCCCCTCCGCTGCCCTCATCTCCTTTGTCCCCTCCTCTGCCCTCCCTCCCTCCGCTGCCCCCCTCCCGCTGGCTCCCTCTCTCCCTCCCCTCCTTCCTCTGTCCTCCCTCCCTCCTCTGCCTCTCTCCCTCCTCTCTGCCCTCCCTCCCTCACCCCCCTCCTCGGGCCCTCTCTCCTCCTCTGCCCTCCCTCCTCTGCCCTCTCTCCCTCCTGTGCCCTCCTCTCCCTCCACTGCCCTCGTCTCCCTCTCATTCGCACCATCAGCCCCTGATACAAGTGACTTTTTCTCCCCCTCCGGGTTTTCTGTTTTGTAGATATTAACCAGCGTTTCATTTAAAGCAGGTATTTTTTTATATTGTAAGGCCTCCAAACACCTTTAGTTTTAGCAAACAACAGCAGGACGAAACGCTTTGTCGCTGCGCAAGTGAGCTCGTGTTACGTGATGAATTTTTGATTGAACGCTGCAATGACTGGGGCAAAATTACTAACGATATTAAAATATATTATATCTTTTTGTGTGGTAAATCATCTTGGCGACCCCCCCAGGGGTTCCCGGCCGACCCCCCGGGGGTCCAGGACCCCCCCAACTTTGGGTAACCACTATACTCTAGGTGTCTAAAACTGTGCGCTTACGATGCAGGAACCCCGGGTTCGATCCCCGGGCTATGTCTTTTGTATTTATTGCATGTTATCACATTCTATGACAGATTGCTCCAAGAAAAAACGGTAAAAGATGAAAGGTCAGACGTTTTTTTGCAGATTTTAGCTTAATGTGTAAAAATGAATCATTTAAGACCAACACGTACCCCATTAAAATAATGTTAGCTCTTTTGATGTGGGGGACTTTTAACATGTTAGAGGAATAAATAAAAGTAAAGGTGATATCCCTTGAGCCAACCCTGATGTTGATAACGCTGAGAAATACGTTCCAACATCCATTCTACCCACACCTAATTTTGAACAATCAATTGCTTATTTAACTTATGCATAAACTATGTATAATTACATTGCTTTTATTTGTTTTTGGTTTTTTATATCAAAATGTTCCAAGAATAATATAAAAAAACATTAACAAAACATTCAGTCACCTTACACGGCTGTCATTGCAATGTGAAGAGACGGACAAACAACCTGGAAAATAATTCCCTGTGTTTGCTGCTGGATTGGTGGTGAATCTGGCAACCTGAGTCAGGAGATGAGAGAGGACTTACAAAATATTGACTGTGACTGCAGTACCAGCCTTTTGGCCAGATTTTTAAATATTGCTCCTTTAAGGGTCGCCGCAAGTCAGCTCCGCTGTGATGTCCCGTGTGTGTGGTATTGAAGGAACACGGAGCGGCCTGCAGCAGGTGCATGGACGAGGCACTATGGAGCAGAGAGCTTTGTGCTCGAAGGAAAAGCATTTGGCTCAGAGCCTAGATATACTGGAGACTGTGGACTATCTAACATAGATATAACTTAATCTAACATAGATAAAACTTTATATCTAACATATATACACTCGTATTGTATTACCCACTAATTATTGGTTTGCGGTTTGTGCTAGATAACTGTTTAATAATAACTATGTTTCCAACCAAGAACTGTGCGTTTATTCACACATCACAGTTGAAATGACTTTATAAAATCATGAATCCATAAAACATTGTCAGGATTTATGCATACAGAGTAATACTAACACTAACACATAAAACCTACAGTAGAAACACTAGGCTTAAAGGCCTGCACACATAAAACATTCCGTCTTCCATCACTGTAAACTACAGACTTAAAACATGGATTCAAAAGGCTCTGACTTGACATTTGGCATTTTAACAACATTAAAAAACATTTTAATTTGATATTCAAATTTTTCTAATATTAAACCGAAATCATGTAATAGGGTAAAAACGTGACCCACCTCCTCAGACGCTAGACAAAGACTGAGCGAGGCGCATGGCGCAGACTGATGGAAGGCTGCTTCTGTTTGCTTTAATGGCGGGCTAAGAATGGAATATTGCGTATACTGCCACCTACTGAATCGGAGTGGTATACTCCATGCCTTTGGGACCAATGTTTACAGTCTATTTATCATTTTGTTAAGTTTAAAATAAAATAATGCCCTCTCTTGATTATCCCCTCCCCAAAATCAGGCCGTCCTAAGGGCTGTGCGACCTGTGCCGTCGCACCAGGGCCTCGCCACCAC